CAATTTATGTAAAAAAAAGTCAGGATAAACTAAAAAAAAAAGGCAGGACCGAATAGAGTGAAAAATAAAAAGGCAGGACAGGGACTACAACTAAAAAAAATGCAGGACAATATTTTTCATCCTAGCCCCCCCCCCCCCCCCCCCCCCCCCCCCCCCCCCCCCCCCATAAAAATCAAATGGCAGCTCCCTAAACAACCATATATATTCCTGTTCGTCATTTCAAGAAGATTTGAATGACATACAGGGTCAATCCATAGGCGTCACTTATGCATATCACAAACCAATTTGTACTGGACTTTGGCCAATGTCAGGTGACCATGGGAATGACGAATTATTGGAGCTTTGTTTGGGAGACTTCGTAACAGCATCCTGTTACAATTATTTCTTGTTACTGATAAGTTTTATAGATTTTGAAAAGACATTGTATTAATGATAAATGAGATTTTGGATTTTTTTCTTCTTTTCTTTGGTAAATTGTTTGAAGAATTTTTGTTTATTAATAAATATATATTTAGATTTCTGATGTTGGGCCCAGTTTTCAAGTTGGTCCAAATCGGGGTCCAAAATTAAACTGTGTTTGATTTCAAAATAAATTGAATAAATATAGGGTTCTTTGAAATGCTTAATCTAAACCTGTATTTCTTTTCATTATTAATAAGATAATACCACATTGAGGTCCAAAGGGTCCTAAATTAAACTTTTGTTTAATTTTATCAAAAAATTGAATTCTTTGGTTCTTTGATATACTGATTCTAACAATGTTTGAGTGTTAAATCATATCTAATTTTAGAGAACTTAGTCATCACTGGTTGTTGTTATTATATTATTGATTATAATTTGAAAAATTGCATCATATCTTATTTTAGAAAAAATTTATCCAGTTTGAGTTATTTCCCTTTGCACAGAAAATAGTATTGATAAAATTAACCTGTGTTTCATTTCAACATAAATTAAATATATATAGGGTTCTTTCAAATGCTGAATCTAAACTTGACTTTTGTATTTAAATATTAGATCTTTGGGCCCAGTTTTCAAGTTGGTCCAAATCAGGGTCCAAAATTAAACTTTGTTTGATTCAACGAAAATTGAATTTATGGGGTTCTTTGAAATGCTGAATCTAACCATGTAGTGAGAAATTTTTGATTGTAGGCTCCTTTATCAAATTGGTCCACATTGAGGTCCAAAGGGTCCTAAATTAAACTTTTGTCTGATTTCATCAAAAATTGAATTGTTGGGTTTTTGATATGCTGATTCTAATATGTACTTAGATTTTGGATATTGGACCATAATAGGTAAATGTCCAATTTCAAACATTTCAGTTCTTTGACCACATTCATTTTGTGTCACAAACCTATGCTGTGTCAAATATTCAATCACAATCCAAATTCAGAGCTGTTTTAAGCTTAAATGTAGTGTCCATACTTGCTCATCTGTTCAGGGTTCGACCTCTGCAGGAAAATCCGGTTTGCTGTCACTCTGACAGCCTCTTGTTAATTTTGCTCTCGTCGTCAGAGTCTCTTGCTACTTGATAAGTTTCATATTGTCGAGCAGTATCCCATCCCCCTTCGCTTCTATCAGCGATTTTGACTAGTTTGTTTCGCCTTTTGGTCTTGTCAATAACTTCCTTGATAGTATCTCGTGCGTAATCAACTTTTGAGTTATCAATTGCCCAAATGAATTGTGTGAGGTCTTCTAAAAATTCAGTGTTAAGAAGAAATTGAACCTTATTCCCCTCGTATTTCCAATTATACTGGGATTCAGTTTTTAACTGTTTAACAGAAACGGTAGCCTCGTGAAATTCTTGTTTTAAATCGGAAATGTCTTTCCTTAAACTAGCGTCAATTCACTTTGCGTTTTAACAGCTCGCATAACATCTCTAAGCAAAACATCATGGTAATGAATATCTAATTCCTCATTTTCAGCCATTACAAAGAAATATTTGAACCGATCGCTTTGGCGCTGTCGTGCTGAATGACCGAAACCCCCGTTTCGGCGGGAAAACTGACCGCACGATAGGTACGACACCTATACATCACGAAACAGACAAGAGAAAATAATTTCACTATAATTCACTACGTTGAACCGTATAAAATTATATTAATAATGAGTAATAAGACACATATATTTGATTTTATATATTATTTTATGCAATCATAACGAAGTAAACATGTCCGTCAGTCATGGTTTCCTTACCTTGACCTCTTTTGACCTTCTCTTGAAACACGAAAAGAGGCCAAGGTCAGAGAAATCCTGCTTAATGGAAATGTTTACTTTGCAATTATTACTTATTTCGAGCGCCACTGATGAGTCTTTTGTAGACGAAACGCGCGTCTGTCATACCGATATACAAACCTCATATATTTGATGAGTTTCTACAGCAGTTGTAATTTCATCCTGTTGACAGTAACCTCGTGTACGCATTTTTTTCGACGCATTTTACATACATGTACATCCTGTACACTTATAGACTGATTTCACAAACATCTAACTAGCTGTAGGTATAAAAGCTATATATATATATATATATATATATATATATCATTTTGTCCATTCATTCATCATCATACATTTATTCATTCGAGTCACGTCTCAGTCATTACAACTGAACGGACGTGCAGGGTCAGCTCTCCTTTACCCACTATCTTCGATGAGGGTTTACTGTTAGATGAATCAACGACTTACTACTTTCGATGACAGAAACCAATCCAACGCTGTACAGACTACGATAGGCTATAATCCACGTAGGGCGAATTCCCGCGTCAACATACACTCCAAATAAAATTGAGAATGGAAATGGGGAATGTGTCAAAGAGACAACATCCCGACCATAGAGCAGACAACAGCCGAAGGCCACCAATGGGTCTTAAAACCCATTATGGATGGGGGAGTGGTATGCCGACTGATGTCCGAGGGCTGTATCCTAGGTGTTAGATGATGGACCGCCATTTCACTGTCTCACGACTTTGGTCCTGATAATGCTTCCTGTCATCGTTATTACTATGTCTGAGACTCATCGACCAGTACTCCATCATCGTGGTTAGCGGGCTGCCAAGCTAACCAACCTGGCCCTGAAAGCAGCCGTTGTGAAGTAAACAACAAAATAGTCAACAAACCAAACCAAAACAACTCACCAAATCCAAGATGGCCGCCTACCAAAATGGCGAATTCCAACTGTTCCTGTCCAATGCTGTCCGACTGCAAAAATATTTAAACGCTCACCAAAACGCCTTCGGGCACCGAGCCGACCGTGCGAGGGCTGAACAGCCAGTCAAGGTCGTTAAACACTTCCAGTAGTAGTATCATTTTGTCGATATTCAGATGCAGTTCAACGAGTTCTAAATAAAAATTTCAAATTTCGTGAAATACCGTCCAATTACGATATATACTTCGCCTTAAAATATAGCCTAATTTCTTTTAAAATAACAAATAAATAAATTGTCTCAAAAATATTGATTGATGTCGGCTTGGTGTCTAAAGTCCAGTAGCAAATATATCAAGCATATCGAGAACATGTTGAAGTAGAGATCGACAAGGTCACAGAGCCAGATTTTTAAGGTGTAAGTTTACATGGTATCATTACCTTAGTTTGGTCCGTGTGGGGAACGAACCCACAACCACTCGCATTCGAAGAGAGCAGACTATCACGAGAATGTGCATTAACAAATTTGGTCTTTATATACGAGTCACTTAACTTTATAGGTATTGCGACGTATGGTAGTTCATAATAATGTCCCTCCTTTCCAACAGAAGCCGACTCAAGGTCGTTTTATATCTTGTCCCTGTTTTGAAGCCAGCCCAATGTCTGAAATTCCTTATGACCTAGGCTGGCAAGAAATATACTAGTAGCTGTAAACGAACGGTCTCCATAGCAATAAAAGAAGCATGTTGATTGGTGAACCAATGATGAGCACAGCAACACTAATATCATATGAATGAAACAGGAAAATAAAATAAAGAACCACTCCGAATTGATGATTATCGATCTTCCAGTAAAATGTAAATCTTTTTTACATGTCATTGTTAAAACGGCGGAAACAGAGATGAATAAATATATATGCACAATTAAAAAAGGGCGTGAGGTTAATACTTTAAATCTAATGGCCCATCTTCATCTAAAGAAAACAAAACGTAATGAATTCTTCATTTAAACCCAGATGCCTGCTTGAATACCATAAAAAAATCTACATAACGAATTAATTTTCTTGTTTCGGTATTCGGTTGCCAATTGTCTGGATACCACATGAGATTTTCGAGGAAAAACAATATAATCATTATGAGTGAACAGAGATGTGAGGTATACGTCCATAAAACAGCAATACAACGACACAAATACACGTATGTCAGTATACGTTCCTAAACAATAACAGCTCTAAATCGCTCTAATCTAAAACCAGTGCAAACAATTTGACAAAGACTATATAAAAGATGCTATGAAAGATCTGCAATGAACACCAAATTCCCTAAATGAAAAAAAAGTGATACAAATAAAGAGAGCAACGAACAAGGTTCCTAGCGTTGATCACTGAATTTATATGCTCATGACGGGTGTTGTATGCATGACAGGAGACGCTTACCCTATCGACGCACCCTGTCTAGCTACTTTTCGAAATCATGCGATTCCCTCAGTTTTAGTTTGTTTCCTTGATTTTTTATCTTGAGCAATTTGTGAGAGTTAAACATCAGTAATCCATTGTTGCCTATACTTATACGATACATTTGTAAATAAGGTTATTAAAGGGTTATTCCATGAATATTGCTGAGTATTGTTCATAACAGAATATCTGATGCATCAGTTGTGACACTTCGAAAACAAAGCATTACATGTATGCTTATTGTACAACTATGTTTTAAGTTGACAATTCTACAACCATTTCCTAACACGATAGACTGATCTTAAGATTCGACAAGATATATACAAACTAACACAACTAAAAAATCAAATATAATATATAAACAAAAAACGAACCCTCAATAACATTTATTTTGTTATCTAATACTCATTATATTTTCCATCCAGCAAATGTTGATCTTCCATAAGCATCGCTCCATATGTCGCCAACATGCTTGTCCATTTTGATACGCACGTAGATATCATCACCATTGTTCGCATGAACTACAACAATTCCTGTGTTGTGTTGGTCGTCGTCATTATGTGAATATGAATACATTGACGAATAAACATCGCTGTTAACTACAAGTTCAGTGGAATGTCTTTCGGTTATTCTTGTCCGTAAACTCCAAGCCATGACGTAAATACCCGAAGTTGGTGGATTAAAAACTCCAGTGTGTAGATGGTAGGCGTTTCCAACATTAAGCTTTAAAACATCAAATTTTAAAATATGTTGTCCACTTGGGTTTTTCAAGGGTTGTGACATGTAGGCGAAAAATGCTACTTCGGAAATTGTAGTCGCTGGTGTCAGTGTAGACAGTGGTAATAAGAGTCGTTCTAAAAAGAAAGCGTTTAATTAGTACGTTTTGTAATGTCACCAGATACAAATGTATTGTGGTTGATTTACGGACTGATAAAATAATACCCTGTCATCAATGGCATAAATTATAACAAGAATGTCATCAGTTATCAGCCCGCACATTTAATGAGCAAATATTTTATAAAAAGATGAAATACAATTAGCAAAAATACAATTTTAAGAAATTTTGCCATTCCTAATTCCTTGTCAGCTAACAGCATTGTATCGGACAAAATGTAATGATATACTAAAAAGAGACGATAAGGACCCCGATTGAATCGGTTTAAGTTTATAGTTATCATATAATTAGTTAAAAGTGTCTTTGAAGTGTATGTTGTACGTTTCACGTCAGAGTATCTGTAACGTTTTATTCCTTTTTTTAAATTATGATTGAGGTTAAAGGTGCGTTTACACGGCACGATTTTCCTTTTGATTTTCCTTCAAAGTTTCCTATGTACCTGCTTTTGACTAAAATCACACCGTGTGGACACTAAAATCGGACGTATATGGCTAATCGAATGGAAAATCGTGACGTGTGAAAAGAATGCTGTACAATTTACCTGGACATCGGTATCAAATCGGATGGAAAATGGTACCGTGTAAACGAACCTTAATATAATACAACAACAATAGCGACCTTCATGTTAAATACAAACAGAATATGAAAGGGAAAACCACCATCTGTTGTCGTTAGAATAAATCATAAATATGCTTAATTTTACACTTAATTTGCACGGGCTACATGTAAAACTGTTATCCTTTATTTTGTTCCTAGTTTATGTAATATATATATATATATTTGTTAAATCAACAAGAAACAAAAGAAATCCATAACAAAATGAATTAATTTATATTTAAAGACGACATATTACCTACGAAAGATGTTTGGTTTTGTTACAGAAGTGTAAATGTAAGGAAAGATTAAAAGATTTCTGAAAATGTTCCAATTATAAAATAAAATTTAGGGGGAAATGGACATTGTAATGCGTGCAACCTGTTAAGCATAAAGAACCTGTTATTTGTGGTTATTTATACGTTGTTTGCAATAGTTGCATATAAATCAAAAATATTTAGAGTTAAAAATAATGTTTTATGTTGTCATGACCTCAGCAACTGTTGTAATTGTGTAAGTGATGGCAGTAGAATTATGTAACAAATAAGTGTTTCAGTGTTCCAGTGTTTTATTGTATGTTATATAATGCCGCTTAAACCCAAGAAGATGATATGCAGCATGATATTCAAACATAAGGTAAAGATAAAACATTCTACATAATACCATCCCTAACGTGTGTACATGATTTTTTCTGAGACTATAAAATTGTAACAACTCCATATGCAATTTACAACGATTGTCGTGGTACTAGAGGTCTTCATTTGAATAGTCATTCCCTACGATCATTGTAAATACGGTAGGAATACAGAAAATTGATGATAAGGAAATAAGACAGGAAATACGTATCTTGTTGGGTGATTATTCGTGTATTTTTTGTTAATAATTTGTTCTGATCAAAACTCACCAAAGATGGCTTATACATTTGTACTCCAGACTCAAATAAGCGTTTACGGATACAGAAATGAAGTGCACGGAAATCTACATTCTCGACATGGAATTCCCCAAAAAATAAAATTTGAACTATACAGTACCTGGACCCTGGAGTTGGAAGGTCGGGTAATGGGACATCGTTTTTGAGTAGACCAAATCTGATCTAACAGTTAAAATATGTATACGAACAGATCTCTTTTGTTTTCTAAGACCTGACGTAGAATACATGTGTATTGGATATTCTGCTAAATATATCTTTTCGAGGCTAGTCGGCGTAAATTACGTGCAATACATTGATTTCAAATCCAGATGAAAAATATGCATCATGGTTTATTAACATCAATACGGCATCCTTCACAAAAAATCAATAGTTGAAAATATTTTGGAATTGAAGGGAAGGAATTTGTTTAACATAAAAATAATGAACATGCAATAGTTGTTATACTACTTCTATATGGGTTAAACGAATTATTATAATATAATAGCATGGACTAAACAAAATATACTATAGAATAAAAGCATAATACTGATTACGATGCGTACGACAAGTTTTTCAAAAATAGCCTTCATGAGGTTCGCTCAATGTAGTGAAAAAGTAGGGCAAATTTTCCCTGAAATTTTTTTTCACACAATAGGCCATGTTCAAATTGTTAAGAGATTTTGGCAACTTTTCGAGTGTACAATGTGTCAACAAATGTACAGAGAAGACATCCTTAAAGTCATTTGATACCTCAAATTTAAAAAATCAGTTGACTATATTGTATATACTTGAATGGCTAAGTTTTACTATAAAGTGTACGTGGACTTTTTTGTAAAAGAAAATCCTTTATCGGATCAAAATCTTCAGAAATGTACCGCTATGGAATTATTATCTTCCCGTACTCTAATTCATCGATATTTTGTTTAGTAAGCAGTGACCTTAACTTCAAGACCTCTCGATAGAACGCTAGTGCGAGGAAATAACCGTGTTGAAAGAATGAAAACAAACCCACACTGGAAGGTAAATAGTAATAATTGATTCTTAAAGAACGAATAAAATACACCAAATCATTGAACAAATTGTTGATTGTTTTTCAATATTTTGCTAATCATCGGAACCCAACTCGAAAGTTATTTAGCTTGCGATCAACTATCAACGAAATATTATTTGTCGATAATCCGTTATAGATTCGTAAAAAAAGTTTTTAAAAATGTGCATAGAGTACTTAGTTTATTATATATGGCTCAATAATTTCCTTAACATTATAATTACAAGCAACTCGTTTCATATGACTTTAACCAATATCAAAAGTGTGTTGGAAGAAAATTTATGTATTGTCTTTCGGATACAAATCAATTAATTTTGTAAGCGATGTCCTCAATTCAAAATTTAATAAAAACATGTAAAATGTGTATGAAAATGTCTCCAGCAGCAAATATAACACAGAATAACTTTTTGAATTTTTTTCATATTATGTAAATTTGTGAAACACTATTTTAAGAATATGAGATAGACTCTAATAATCAATAGGATTTGATAACCTTTAGATTTTGACCTTGTGAATGAAAGAAATACATGGGGAAATTGGCTATATCTTTTAAAAATCCAGAACATAACTGTTGCACTATTGGAATTCATGTCATTCTTTACACAAAGTTATTATTTCGACATGCTTGATTTGTTTTGAAATTTAACGACATGACTGTACACAAATACTCTATTCATAATTGCAGTCTTTTATCAGTGCAGTATATGAAAACTTATTACCTTTTCTGACTGCCGATAGTGAACTTCGCTCTTTGCTTACTTTATGTTTCTGACGTTTTGTAAATTGACCGCTATTTTCGAAGAACACTTCTACAGACCGACGACTTTGGTCTATCCTTTTGCACTTTTTAAGATCATATTGAATTTTTGAAAGTCGAAGTTCCAGTTCTGCTCTATGCTGTTCGGATTCTTTCTGTTCCATGAGCAAACGGTTTTCGGTTAAAGATAGTGATGTCTCAAGATTTTTTATTCGCAAATTTTGATGTTTCAATGCATTTTGCATTTCCAGTACTATATTTTTTAAAGACAATCCGTCATCAACATCAGTAATTTCACTGCTAGAAACATACAACACTAATAAAATAACAACAAAACCTAAACACTTAAACCAATGCATTGTCTTGTAATGTACTACTCGGCATGAGATTATTCAATCAGTTGGTGTCATCTTATCGGTATAATTGGTATCTATATACAATGTATACGTAAACGTTCCTTATCATATCAATTCAAACCAAAGTTCGAACTCTTTCATGGTAATTTGACCTACGTAGACTATTCGAATATTCTATATATACATAAAAAAAAATCTTATCAAAGATACGAGCATTATAATTATAACATGTTTTCCCATAATACATAAAACTTTAAGGATAACAGAAATCACCAAATTATTTGATAATATAACACACCAGTCACAAATACCTGACTTCTCCTAAAACAGACATACAGAGAAAAGCAAACGCAAATGAACAACACATGGTCCAGATAACCTGACTGAAAAAGAACACAATATAAAAAATAATAAGATAAGGTATGATTGCCAATGAGACAACTGTCCATCAGAGTTCATATGAAGTTGGTGTAAGCCATTAAAGACAACCGTACGGCCTTCAGCAAGAGAAAAACCTATATCGTATAGTCGGCTATAAAAGCCTCCGACATGAAAATTGTGAAACAATTCAAACGAGAAAACCAACGGTCTAAATTATAAAAAAACGATTTACAAAAAAAAAAAAAAAAATATGACAGACATGAAGTAACTACAACCATTGAATTCAAGGCTCCTAACTTGGGTCAGGCACATACAGATTGTGGCGGGGTTAAACATGTATTTCAGCGCTTAACCCTCCCTAAACTGGGACAATTGTACAAACCGTAAGAAGAGACAGAAAGAACATTACCGTCTAAAAAGGGTTAACAATGGGGAACGAAAAATCGTCTCTTTTGTCGTAAAATTTTATAGAGAATTTCCTGTGTGAAAATTAAAATATCCAAATCTCGAAAAGGACAATTATTGCTGTCTGTATTATATCTATTTAAAGTCAGTTCCTTCCTTCAATGTGACGGTAAGTGTTTTTGAATTTATCATTTAAATGTAATTTAGACGGATCTTTACTGAGTTTGGCCATAGACTGTGATTCATAACAGTATAGAAACAAGTATACATGTACTATTAAAGGGGCGCAATTGGTGCCCATAGGAATACCTACAACTTTTGATAAACTTTATTGCCGAAACTTACATAAATGTTGTCAAGAAGAAAACTTAAAGCTTTAATCATCTAATCACAGTTCCAGTAGGTATATCTAGCATATTTCCCTTTAACATTACAGAAGAAGGCTGAATTATAGACCTCCTTAACAAAGAATTGTCCAGTGTTTGAGTTAGAGCTAGTAGACCTTTCTATATGGATATAATGTGTCCCAAAACTAGTACACTACACTGTAAAAATCTTTTGGAGATTGAGCATGAGCGATTAGTTTAATGGAATTTACTTTCTACAAAAAATCACTACTGTTTTTATTAGAATTCTTCAACTGCTTTACCTATTGTCTATTCATTCCTTAATTATGATCCCAATACAAAGCTTTCACTTTCGGCCTCTTATAACATGAACAAAACCGAAATGGGTAGGATTCAATATGTAGGGCAAACTGGACGTGATTTTTTCATACGAACACAAGACCATCTATACCGCTTCCGCAGACCTAAGAAATTCAAAAGTTTAATTTACCTATATTTAAAAAAACACAAACACAATATCAAATTTATAAAATTCCGACCACTTCAAACCGCCAAGAAACAACCAGGACAACAACATAATCAATTTGAAAATTCCTGTAAAATTTGCGAACTGTCTTGGATTAAACGACTACTGACAGCGTATCCCCATGTCGAAATGACAATATCATGGGCCAACGGAACATATCTAAAACTTCTTCTATTGATATCATGAATATTGCTGATAAAAGACAACGTAATAATAGGTCTCATGGCAAACGTATCAATCAAAATCAACGAATTAAACATATAATAAATTAAAAACTTGACGATCTCCTATCTATATTCAAAAATAATGATAGACATCAATTATTATGTAAACTGGCTCAAATACCAATAGTAAATTACACGATATTTTCAAGGAGTGTGACCCAATCTCGTTTTTCAGCACACTATATAAATGTACCGTATAATTAAAGCTTTTTGTCGCCATAGGCTGTTACCGTGTATCAATAAACCTGAAGATCATAAAGGGCATTTTCTGAAAATTAAATATATTAACAGAGGTAATGATTTTATCAACTTATCTAGAATATATAATGACTGGTCCATAATGACTCTACCACTCAAAACTTTATACCTCCCTACTTTGATAACACAGAACCACATATATACATAAAAAAAACCCAACCAAAGTTCAATTTTTAATTATACGTCCGTAACATCAGATGTCAGTGTAGAAATAATACTTCTCTAACTTGAGACTGTGAATCGTCGAATTTTAGATATGGTCCCTATGGCAATGTTATTACGGGGGACCTCAATATCGTTTCAAGACCGAGAGGTCAAAAACTTTTTGAAAAAGGACCAAAATATCGTCCTCCATCTAAAATAGATTAGAAACAGTGTCGTCAGGTCATAAAAACACCCTTTCACCGTATTGTAAAAAAATGGTGTAAACGGGAAAAATCTGATAAAAAAAATCTCTTGATTTTTATCTAAATAAATGTATGAATGTAGTAAATGTTCGAATATCACATTTTGAAAATAATTTAGAAATAAATAAAAGAGTACATAATACGCATATTTCTA